CAGCCTGGCTCAGACGTGGCTGTTGCAGGCATTTGGGAAATGAACTAGAGGATGGAGAGGATGGAAGATCCCCCACCCCGTGTGTGTGTGTGTGTGTGTGTGTGAGAGAGAGAGAGAGAGAGAGAGAGAGAAATGAATAATTTTTATTAAAATAGAAAGGAGCTCAGGGCTTTTTGCTCCACTTGATAATAACCTGTCTGTTTTAGACAGTAAAAGTTTGGCCACTATCACATTTAAGTCCCATGTGGTACTTTTCAAGAAGAACTCATTGCTATAGTGGTATCTGGCTCTAGGCATCATTGGTCAGTTAGGATACATTATGGTCATGGAAATTTTCTGGGGCTTAATATCTGTGAACATATCACATTGGTCATGCCTTTTTTGTCTCCTTATATCAGGCTAAGTTGGCAATACCAGTGATACAGGATGTATGTGTGTCTGTGAGCGTGTGCATGTGCTGCTGTATGAGAGACATAGAGACATAGAGACAGATACAGAGATAGAGAGAGTCTACATGCCCTGAGAACTTAGCAATGTGACAGTTACATTTTGGATGAAGAAATGCTTGCTAAAATACAAGGACAGCACATCTTCCTGGTGAAACTATTTGTGTTTGAAAGAGCAGATTAGGGATGAACAAGTAAAAAGGAGAGGATCCTTGGTAACTAAACCTCATCAAGAAGACAATGTAGATTGTGAGCCTGAAGAGGAGCTCTGCTAATATTCTGCTTAGCATATGACCCAATGCTTACAATTAAATAAAAAAATTAAACAATGCACTGTAGAAGCTTACAGAGTGTTTCATCTGGAAATCCTGATAACAGAGGCTAGCAAACGTTTTCTGTAAGGGACCAAATATACTGGGAGTAAGAGGAGCATTTGTTGTGGTACAGTGGATTAAGCAAGCTCTTGAGACATCAACATCTCATAGCAGCACACCTGGTTTAAGTCCTGGCTACTCTGCTTCTGATCTAGCTTCCTGCAGGTGTGCATCCTGGGAAACAGTAGACAATAGCACAAGTACTTGTGTCCCTGTCATCCATATGGGAGACCCAGATGGAGTTTGGCTCCTGGCTTCAGCCTGGCCCAGTCCTGTCTTCTGAGTGAATAAGCACATGGAAGATTCTCTCTCTCTCTCTCTCTCTCTCTCTCTCTCTCTCTCTCTCTCTGACTCCTCCAAATAGATGAAAATAAAAGTAAATAAATATTTTTTAAAAACATTTTTGGCTTTGTAGTCTATAGGATCATTTGTTGCAACTTCATTTTTTGGTTGTGGCAAGAAATCAGACAAAGATAATAAGTAAACACATAGACATATCTGTGTTCCAATAAAACTTTATTTACAAAATAAATGGTGAACTAGGTTTAGATTGAGAACCAGAGTTTGCCAACCCCTACCCTAGAGAATTAAACAGTACTCTGCAAGTCAGGTGTGGGCTAAAGGCCTTGGCAAAGCACACAGTCTCTTCTTGGCAAATCTGTATCTGCTTTGCAATCAAAAACTATTGCACCAATTCAGCCTAGCAAACAAAAATAGTAAATTAGCATCCCAATTGACCCTCATAAGCACTGGCATTATTACCACTATTTAGCTTATGCTATCATTCCCACTTTGCAACTTGGAAATGAAATTTCAAGCTACTCAATTGCTTTTCCAAGGATATGCATGGAACAGAATTGACGTCCAATATAGAATGCAGCATCAAAATTTTCTTTTTGAAGATGAATAAATTTATTAGACAAGAATAAAGAAAATTTCTGTGTTACTCTTATCATGGAAGAAAAACTTTCAAATTGGTAATGGTACTTAATATAGAAAGAGGTAAAGACTTCAAGGGAAGAAAGATTTTAATTCCAATAATTTTAATTCACAACAAAACAATTGGAGTCTTTGTAAGTTTCTCCATTTCATTACACAATGAACACACAGAGTCCATCCTAGGACCCTAGAAACAACTAGCAAAACCTAGAATTTTGGACGACTTTAGCAAGAAGCCAACAAGCACCAGGCCCGCCTGCCCTACATAATTGTTCAAGACTTCAAATCTTGCAGTCTCCTTCATTCACTCTGATCATCCACCCAATTTCCTCCAAGGTGGAGAGGAGACCTGAACCCACTGTCTTATGGGCCACTGACATCCTGTGTGGTTTTAAAGAGCACTGGGCTTTGCAGCCCTGATTTCTGTGATTGCTCTGCTGGATCTTAGAGGAGTGTCTGGAAATGACCCCTCACAGACTGCTGCTTCATGTCTCATGGGCAGAAATGACAAGTCACTTCATGATCTACAGAAAAGTTCCTGTAGTCCAACCAAACACTCCACACACCCAGAATGTAATGATTTTATGGAACCGGCACATGCTAAATTTCACAATTTAAGACTAATACAGGTATCAACGTGTGGGAGAAAATATTTCTTGTCTTTATTTTGCATCCCCTTAGGCATTTTCTTATTACATAATATATGTGCACATTGAGAAAAAGAGTCTTTTAAGTTCTTGTATAAATCCTAAGTATATTGTCATCTCTTGAAATTTGTGAGATAGGTATCGTTTCTAGGAAACCCCTGGGGAACCAAAATTTGCAGGTGCTCAAGTCCTTTATATAAAATAGTGTAGCATTTGCATAGAATCTATCAATCTGTCAATCCTTATGTACACTTCAAATCATCTCTAGATGACTTATAATACCTAAGACAATGTAAATGCTCCATAAATAGTTGTTATTCTGCATTGCTTAGGTAATAATGACAAGAAAAAATGTCAGCACATTTTCAGCTGAAATTTTTTCAAAATATCTTCAGTCTGTGGTTGTTGAATCCACAGATGCTGAGTTCACAGATTTAGAGGACCAAGTTAATATAAATAAGCATATAAATGCATTGTTATTTGTTTTCACTTGTTACCATAGGTAATAACATAATCATAAGCTAGTATGATTACCTTATATTGAGATCTTTATGCCTTTCATTCATAAAGTGATGCAATTCTTATCAGTAGCTGAATAGATATTTTAAAAGTGCCTCAAATTGCAGATCTGTTGATCTCTGCTTGCCCCACTAACTCATTTTCTAAATGACACTGCTTTGCAACTTAGTTTTGATCAGCTCACCCTAAACTCCAGCGCCTCCCAGGGAAACAAGCTACCAGTATAAGGAAACGAGTAGGAAGAAAGTAGAATCAAGCTATTAGTTTCCCCAATTTTTGTCCCTATTCATGCCTCCTACAGCCCATGAATTTCTTTTGACTTCTCACAGAAGCAAAGAAAGCCAGGGAGTACTGAGGTGAAAAGAAGCAGCAAAGAGTGTTTTTCCATCATTCCATAAAAAATAGGGGAAAAGTTAAAAGTTTCTAGTTATGAAGAAACACCACTGAATTTAACACCTCAGTTTACACACTGCTGAGCACTAGGGAAGTATCAAGACACTTTCTCTGTCCCGCCCCAACAATGGCCCATAATCCAGAAGTAAACTTGAAAGTTAGACTACACTATGAGAAAGTGATGGTGGAAATATTTGTAAGGTGCTTTGGGGAGCTGTGGGCGGGGGGCTGTGAACAGCTTGCTGGTAGACATGATGTCCCAACACCAGCTGGCAGGAGGAAGGGGAGAAGGTAGCAATGGTCACAGAGACGTAAGGAAGGACCCAGATGAAGAACATGCAGATGCTGAGCACTCTTTGTTCCAGCCTCTCTCTGGACATCCTGATGACCAGCATGAGCCACGACCAGCACCTTTGACTCCTCCAGGGAAATCCCTTTGATAGTATCAGGGGCTTGTCCCCACTAAATGTCACCTACGAGATTTTATCTCTTTATTGGTGTGCTACTCAGCATTATGCATGACTACACAACCAAGTTCAGGCAGGAAAACATATCTGACTTGTTCTCAAAATAAGGAGGAAATGTGTGTTTACTTTTACCAAACTCAAGCCCAAACCCAAACCCAGCCTTCACTGATATGACAGCCTTCACTGACATGACACTACACATTCTCCTAGAGTAGAATTGATTTCATCCTGTATCTCCCATCAGCTGACCACTAAAGCACTCAAGACAAATAAGAAACTTTATACTTCTTTTGAAGAAACCTCCTAGAATCATTTTACTTCATCTCTGTCAAGGAATCAATGTGATTTTATGTATCAATATGAATATAAGCTTCTCTTCTCATCAAATAGCACTGAAAACTCTGCTACACACCTTTGATCAAAATCTCCAAATGCAACTATGATTGCATGTGAGGTTTCCTGCTGTTATAATATAATTCTAACTGCTCCAGATGCTAGGTCCCCACAGATATAAATAGTGCTTTTCCTCCACATGAACAACTCACTCTCCAGTTGGTTTGTATTTAGTGGAAAACTACTTGCCAAGATATCAAGGCTATAATTCACTATAGAAACAATAATCATGGTACAAAGACATTCTAAATATCAGCTCTACCCAGCTTTGGATTTATTGAAGGACCTTGAACTCTGAACAAGTCTATCAAGTACTAATTAATATTGATTAATTAATTTGCAGGTATTTATACAATATTGCTGTTACTCCTGGGGATAGAAAGCCCAGCTACAGGTACTACATGTAGTCGGTGTGTAAGTTATCTTTTATAAGCTTCAGGGTCTGTTCAGCAGTTGCTAGGCTTTTTTCTCATAAAGAGTAAAGCTCAATTTCCTATATTCAACACGTTGTCCAGTGTGATATATGCTGCCATCCACTGTCATTCTAATCATGAAGATCACTCTACAACACCTTGGAGACTGGACATCAGATAGGTGAGCTTAAGATGACTTCACGGGAGTACAGGAGGGTATGGTTTACCAAGCAAGGAGGTGTCTGAGTGCCAGGAATCCAGATGCTGGATGCAAAGCTGTCACTTTGACAGTAGAGGAACATTCGCAGCCTACAAAGCCTTGGGCACCAGGGTTGTTCATGCGTTTTTTGGGAGTTTGAGCACATTTAGAAGCCTAGAATAACCCAGCATACATAAGAATGCCACTCACCTCCTCCCACTGCAGTTCTGTGGCCTTCACTGTCGGGCTCCAGTTCCTCCTGCCTCCTCCCTCCTAAGACTGCACTCCTCCCAACATACCTGTGCCAAGGTTCAGAGAAAATTCACCAGACTTCCCATTGGCTCAATTCCCAAGGGAGAGGTTGCTGACAAGCGCAGCGGTGGTGACAGCAATGAATGAAAAGTTCCTCCCCTCCTCCCAGACTGCACTAAGAAAGAAATCATGGAAGGGACACCAAGGAGGGTCTCCGGCATTCCTGTCCAGCTCTGGAAGGCACCTGACATCTCCTCACTCAGCAAGAAACATAGAGCAGTGTCATGGGGCCATGTTCTTCATCCTTCCCCTGCTCATGAGGAAGGAAACCCAGCAAAGAAAAGCAGCAAAAATTTCTGAAGACTCTTTTCACATGCCCATCTGAGTGATGTGGAACTGGACATAGGGCAGGCTCCAGAATGAGAGCCAGCAGAAGAGAACACGGGGAGCAGATGGACATCCGAGTGAGCCAGAGCCAAGAAGGGACAAGCACTGGGTTCAGAATTGGTACAACCCAACCCTCCACCCGAGACTAAGGTTGGATGCCTCTGCTTTATCCATTTCCAGGGCAGTCATTATCTAGGGTTCAAGTGGTATCCCTGAAGGATGAAGTGACTCAAGTCTCAGATCTCATGATAAGCTTGCAACATATGGGTGTTTTTCACAATAACAAGTGGTAACGTGATACTCTGGAGAAAAACTGACAGCCCACATACACACACAGCAGAGACCACCCATTCTGTGTCAGATATTGGGATATATCCTCTGGGAAGTGTGTGTTTGATGTCAGAACACAAGAGGTGTCATGTGGTAGTGAAAGCTTTGGAACCACACAGAACTGGGTTCAAATCTGGCTCCTCACATTGTACCCCTACGACCTTTGGAAAGCTACTCTGCACTTCTGTGTCTTTCTTTATTCATTTTATAGAAATGGAGACAATTTTTAGTAACTTTATATTTGTGAGGATTATAATTAGCATGTAAAGTATATAGTACATTGTAGGGACTTGATGACCATAGCTATCATAATGATAGGTTGAGACAGCCCTGGAGCATCCTGGATGTGTAAGTACTCCACCTAGAATGTCTTCTCCCTGTACAGGACCTATTACTCAAGGAACTCCTCAAGTCACAATCTGCACCACCTTCCATGTTATCAAAAGCCCACATTAATTCCTTTATTTCTTAATAATATGTTTGATCATATAATTTTATTCAATTTCCCCCTTGTTATATATAATTTTACATCTTATAAGTCATCTCTATAAGATCTTTTCCTGAACACAGGAAACAGGTCATGGTGTTTTAAATCTCCCATTGTACTGAATATACTATAATAGGTACAGTATATCAACTAGGAAGAATGAGTTCTGCTCTCTTTTTGCACAGTAGGTTAACTATAGTTAATGATAAGTAACTTTTTTTTTTTTGACGGGCAGAGTAGACAGTAGAGAGAGAGATAGAGAGAAAGGTCTTCCTTTTCCATTGGTTCACCCTCCAATGGCCGCTGCAGCCGGCGCACCGCACTGATCCAAAGCCAGGAGCCAGGTACTTCCTCCTGGTCTCCCATGCGGGTGCAGGGCCCAAGCACTTGGGCCATCCTCCACTGCACTTCGGGGCCACAGGAGAGAAATAGACTGGAAGAGGGGCAACCGGGACAGAATCCGGCGCCCCAACCAGGACTAGAACCTGGGGTGCCGGCGCCGCAGGTGGAGGATTAGCCTAGTGAGCTGCAGCGCCAGCCAAAATAACGTATTTTTTAAAATAGCTAGAAATCTTGCTGAGACCCCTTTCCACATACTGAAATCCCATCGCTCCCACCTGTGCTCCCAGGTTTAACCCCTATTACTCTTATAAAAATCCCTTTGCAACATGTTGTCAGTCACATTACCCATGTTATGTTCTCATTTCAAAATCCTTAAATCATCACATCTACAGTATTCTTGTAGGATGCCAGGTGCATTTTTACAGGTTCCATGGATGAGGATATGGATATGTTGGGGAGTCATTCTTCTGTCTACCGTAGCGACCTAGAGAAGACATTTCTCAGTCTACATATTCAAACACAAAACACTCTTCCAAACAAGGAAGCTAGATTAGGAAATAAAACCAGGCACACCAGTCTCCATATTGAAACTTGGGGATGGTTACGTCTTGCATTTTGATCCCACTTGTACAGATTTTCCATACTTTATTTCTAATATATGATTTGTCACTTAATATGTCTCTCTTGCTTTGAAATTAAAGAACACTAACTAATTTGCCAAATATATAGTCTAGAATTTTTTCAAAAAGTTCTTAGAATAATTAACGATAAAGCTAGTATTCAAACAGTACTTTATACTATGTGTGTTTGTGTGGGTGCAAACTGTTGAAATCTTTACTTAGTATATACTAAGTTAATCTTCTGTATATAAAGATAATTGAAAATCTTAATGAACATTGAGATGGGAGAGGGAGTGGGAGATGGGATGGTTTGCAGGTGCGAAGGTGGTTATGGGGGGAAAAACTGCTGTAATCCAAAAGTTGTACTTTTGAAATTTATATTTATTAAATAAAAGTTTTTAAAAAGTTCTTAGAATCAACTATACCCAAGTACAATTACTGGTATTCTTGCTGCAAACTGATGGCATTCCAGGGCAGAGTGACAGTGGAACCTAGAAGTTCAAACAGATAGGAGACCAGAAAGCCCCTGAAGGAGGATTCTCTAAGATGCAACACACATCCTCATAGGGAGTGACTGACTGACAAAAGTGGCCTTGAAAGCCAGGGAAACTACAAATCACACCAAGAAATACATCAATGGCAAGGGTGTGTGTGTGTGTGTGTGTGTCTGTAGGGGGCAAACAAATACAAATACAGAGAGGGAGCTCCCATCCACTGGTTCATTCCCCAAATGCCCACAACAGACGCAGTCACGCTGAGGAGCCTGAGTGCTGCTCAGTATCCCACATGAGTGGCAGGAACTCAAGGACTTGAGTCATAACAGCTGCCTCCCAGATCTGCATTAACAGGAAGCTGGAACTGGAGCCAGGGCTGTGAATCAAATCTACTTACTTGAATGTAGACTGTGGGCATCTTAACCATTAGACTGTCAAGATTTTTAAAGTATAAATTCCCAAGGAGGCTTTGAAAATAAGATAGTGAATACAGCAGTCAAAAATGGATTGCATGCACAGCCTCAGAGGATTCTGCACCTAGCTCCAGGCTTTGCAAAACAACAATCACCAGGAAACCAAGACAGACAGAAGTGATTGCACAGAAATGAGTTCTCCCTACCAGGCTCACCCATGACTGTGAATTTCCATCTGCATCACCAAATTAGCAAATTTTAAATATTTAAATTATAAATATTGATAAAATCAAAGTACGTGTAAGGTTTCAGACAACATTGAAGTTATAATTGAGAGAAATGAAGGAACACTTAAATAGCAGACTATATCACATCTATGAATTGTAACCCTCAACATTGTAAATTTGTCAATTCTCCAAAATTTTTCCATCAATTATTTTCTGCTCCATCAATAAAAATTCAGCATATTTGTGTGTGTGCATGTTTGCAAATTGGCAAGCTGATTCTAAAATTTATTTAAAAAATAAGCCCAAGAATAATGAAGATAACCTTGAAGTATCACAATGACTTTATTTTTTTAACTTTTATTTAATGAATATAAATTTCCAAAGTACAGCTTATGGATTACAATGGCTTCCCCCCCCACAACTTCCATCCCACCTTCAACCCTCCCCTCTCCCGCTCCCTCTCCCATTCCATTCACATCAAGATTCATTTTCAATTCTCTTTATATACAGAAGATCAATTTAGTACATACTAAGTAAAGATTCCAACAGTTTGCACCCACACCGAAACACAAAGTGTAAAATATTGTTTGAGTACTAGTTATAGCATTAATTCACATTGAACAATACATTAAGGACAGAGATCTTACATGGGGAGTAAGTGCACAGTGACTCCTGTTGTTGACTTAACAAATTGACACTCTTGTTTATGGCGTCAGTAATCTCCCTAGGGTCTTGTCATGAGTTGCCAAGGCTATGGAAACCTTTTGAGTTTGCCGACTCCGATCTTATTTAGACAAGATCACAGTCAAAGTGGAAGCTGTCTCCTCCCTTCAGAGAAAGGTACTGACTGCCTTCTTTGATGGCCTGTTCTTTCCACTGGGATCTTACTCACAGAGATCTTTCATTTAGGTTTTGTTTGTTTGTTGGCCAGAGTGTCTTGGCTTTCCATGCCTGAAATACTCTCATGGGCATTTCAGCCAGATCTGAATGCCTTAAGGGCTGATTCTGAGGCCAGAGTGCTGTTTAGGACATCTGCCATTCTATGGGTCTGCTGTGTATCCCATTTCCCATGTTGGAATGTTCTCTCCTTTTTAATTCTACCAGTTAGTATTAGCAGACACTAGTCTTGTTTATGTGATCCCTTTCACTCTTAGTCCTATCAGTATGATCAATTCACAATGACTTTAGAGCTTTACACTAGCAGATGTCAAACTATAAAGCCACAGTAAGACAGTGATAACAGTAATAAACAAATAGACAATGATAGACAAATAGACAAAAGGAGCAGAATAGAAAGATCAAAAACAGACCAGTCTACTTTACATTGCTTTAAAACAAAGTCATCATTAAGTGAAACAGGGGAAATAGAGAGTCTTTTCAATCAGTGGTCTGGATCAATTAGATAGCAGTAACTTTTTAAAAGACAAATGAAGTTTAATCCATATTCAACAGCATTCGCACAAATAAAGTGCAGATGGATTATAGATCTAACGGCAGAAGGTTGTTATCTAAAAGATAACAAAGGGAATATCTGCATCAACCTTACTTAGACAAAAATATGTGGAATAGATCACAAAAAGCATTAGCTATAAAGGAAATATTGATAGACTGACTTCATTAAAATTAAAAAGCTTCTGATCATCAAAAAGACTCCTTTAAAAGAGCAAGAAGACAAGCCACAGACTTGCAGAAGATATTTACAATACATATTTCTGACAAAGATCTGTTATCTAGAGCACATAAGTTACTTCCACAAATCAATAATAAAA